TTCACAAAACTCTCAAAATATGATAATCTATTGATTGATATTACCATAGAAACCACCAGCAGTAGGTGGGGCRCCATAGTAACCTGGTTGAGGTGGTGGGGCTCCATAGTAACCAGGTTGAGGAGGGTAAGGYGTTTGATAAGGAGGACCATTGTAGTACCCTGGCTGTGGTTGTGGTGTTGGGTTGTTGTAGATACCRAAYGTCTGGTATCCTCCTGCRGCCGGCATTGGTTGGCTTCCTGGCCTGCCCGCTGAGAATTCAAGTTAGAGTTCAATACTTTTGTGAATAGATTTTAAATGTTTTTTATTTTTTATTTTTTTTTTGAATAAGAAAACATTTTGTGATTAAAGCGTACCATAAATCTTTCATAATCTATTATAAGCACTTGTGAAAAAATTGTTCATGAAATTTCCAGTAAGGTTATATACATAATGTATCCATCATGTATTATTAATAATTATTATAATAGTAATAATTATAATACCTGAAGCTACAGCTTGTCGGAAGTGTTCAGCAAACTCAATTGCTCCACCACTGTTAAAAGTAATGTTGAATGTTCCTCTTCCTTGCCAGCCACCTATTAAATAACGTGTAGATTCTAAGACCCTCCAGTCAGAGGAATTCCAAAAGAACAAATTATGTGTTTTGAATTTTATACACAATAATAGACCTAATAAGCTAATTTTTTTCCATGGACATTACCACCTAATTCAAATCCTGTGGGAAAAATAACTTTTGTTTCTAAGAATTCAACTGTGAAAAGAAAATACAACAAACAATGAAACTTACTCCCCGGTGGTTTGAATTGGGGTAGAAAAGTTTATAGCAATGCTCTAGCTTATTAGGTCTATTGAAACAAAATTAAATTAATGTATATGAATAGATAATAAGTTATGATTTGTAGGTTGGTATAATGATAATATTTTGACAGCAACATCAACAACAACATGAACAACAACAACAGCAACATCAACAACATCAACAAACAACAATACCTTCAGGTTCAGAGATGACATCTCCTTTGATGTAGTTTGCTCCAAACATTGGCTGCTTAACCTAATGAACAAACATAAAGAAAAAGATRTGTACATTGTTAAAATTTTATGCCAAAAAAAAAAGAATTAAACCACATAAAGTGTGAACTCTGTCATTGTGGTTTGGATGGCAAGAGTTGGAATATCATAATGGTAATTTCAATGCAGAAATACATCATTTAAAGTTGTAAAAGAAAAAGGAGTATGCCAATACATCAGTAATTCAATATATGATAAGTGGTTCTTGAAACACATGCTGTGTGAGCTATTTCCAAGTTTGTATGGCTGGGAATATGGACATGGGTTCAAATTCAGACAATACAATGGCCATTGTTTACTCAAGAAGTGATTACACATGCCAACAAATTGATTGAAGACTTTCAGGAAAAATGAAAACATCATATATACATAAGCACTGAAATGTTTATTGTTTGCTACATAGTTCTTTTTCAAGTGGTCAACTTTTTAACCTTAATACAATTAAATTTACTATAATTTCTAAATTAATTGAAATAAGCATAATATTCTCAAAACTGATTAATTTGAATGTGATAAATGAGTTTTCAGTTGTATTGAAATGCAGGTTTCTTATGTATTCTAAAATTACAGTCTGCATTTCTCGAAACTGTACCATTTATTGCGTATTGTTTTATGCATTTTTAATAGACTAGTTCATGCCATACACATACATTTGATGTCCACTTACTTCGACACCTCGTATACTTCTGAAATTCATTGAAAACGATCCAACATCTGTCTGAACTGTCGGTGCAAATATTACCTAAAAAACAAAAACAAAAAAAATTAAAAACTGAATGTCAATTTTTGCTGAATCACGTGAAGAGRGTTTCCATGACGTAAGGTCCGCCTTGACAAGTGACTTTCTCGATTAAAAAATGCTTTTAAAATGGCATAAATTTTATTGGATGGGTTCTTTAGAGTTTAGACTTACTCGATTTGTTGAAACAAAGATGTTTCCCTTTTTTGATCCCTTTAGAAACCCAGGAATGCTGTCGCCGTGCAACTCGAACTGGACGCCATCTTGATGGTAGACRACACTAAAATCGACATTTCTTCTCAAAAAACGCTCATAATGTACAAATTGGGAAACAAATTGTAAACACAATATCACTTACTAGTCTCCGTGTAATGTTAGCCGACCACCGGCGCACTCGATTTTGTTTATGGACATGTTTTTAGAAGATGGTTCAACACGACATTTCAAAAATCTCTTCGATATATTTTGAAGTGACGTCATGGAACAAAATTGGTACCAAGTTGAACTCGGTCAAACTAAGCACAGGGTTCCAGTCAAAATCTTCCCAATTTTAAGCTCTCGGCCATTGCAATTTACTAAGAGAAATATGCACGGAAAACCGTCATTGAAATTTTGTTTTTTATTAAAACGAAATACCTATTTGGAAAGGAATCCTGTGATTAGCTGGAAATTAAAACTAGGACCAAGGTTTAGCTGGAAATATGAACGTAGATGACGTGCTTATCTTCATAGCTCGCGTTTCCCATTCATTTCTGTTTTGGYTACCATGGCAATCATTCCATTATGAYGACATTAATTTTGCGCAAACTTCTGTGCCTTCATGGGCTTCGCATTGGTTTAATTTGATGACTTCCAGTTATTAAGAAATTTTGGTTTTGGCGCATCCATATCAGCCGTAATCATTAGCCATTGACGTTCCTTTGGTAATTGAAAAACAAGAAGAAAACTGAAATGAAGAAAAAAACATGTAAATGGAAAACCTGCATCGCCTTACGTGACCAAAATATGTACAATCGCTTTTAACAGATCATCAAATGTCAACAAAAGCTGTCAACATTTTAATTGGCATTGTTCGCAATGGTACAAGTTTGTCACCCACMGGACACATGTCTCCCGACTAGTCGGGTTCAACAACTTCAACAATCACCAAACAACTCGAAGGTGTAAGTTGTCTTCTGACTTCCTCCGTGTGAGAGGGAAAAAACTCGTCCCCAAACGCAAAATGGACGACAAAAGGCGTCACAAGAAAGAGAAGGATAGACTACCAATTTCACAACGCGCTGCACATGGAGTAGGACACGTCCTAAATGATCTCGCCGCAAATATATGGTTTAGCTACCTTATAATCTTCCTTACCAAAGTAGTAGAGCTCTCAAATCGCCACACGGGGCTTGTAATCCTACTTGGCCAAATCGCCGACGGGATATTCACGCCATTTATTGGGATAATCTGCGATMGGACTGTATGCCGTTATGGCCGTAGAAAAATATGGCATCTGATTGGTACGATACTTGTTACCGTAACATTCCCACTGTTGTTGATCCATGTACTYAAGCAAGAAAGCAATGATGTTGTCAAGGTGGYATATTATGTTGGTGTTGCTGCTGTGTTTCAGTTTGGATGGGGGTGCGTTCAAATAAGCCATCTCTCGCTGATACCAGAAATATCCCGTCGAAAAAACGAACGAGTTGAGCTCAATGCCATAAGGTATGAATTCTACTCATAGTAATTTTAATATCTAAAAAAAATGTTTTGTTCATAAAAGTTATCATATTGCTCGGTTTAACTTCTTTGATGCGCATCCAAAGACTCATTAGTCTGCATATTGGGTTTATTGATATGCATGCCCACTGTACAGCGTACATTTTATTTCCATAACTCGACTTACAAAGATATATATTCCATATATTTCTCGACGAGACTTTTGTGGTCAGCTTCAAAACAATTCGCTCGATTTTGACAAAGGACTGATGAATCGGATATTTTTTCATTGTARGATGTTTTTGTAATCTTGAAAAAAAAATAGTCGCGCCACACTCCGTTGCAAAAGGTCAGAGTTTCTATTCCATTTAATAAACCGCACCTCTGTTTTATCATGATTTTGTCCAAAGTCCGTACTGTAATCATGCAATAGCTAAAATGAAGTTTAGTATTAGAATGATATATACAATGCACACTTCGCCGAACGCGGAACGCACGAATCAAAAAAACATGCCACTTTTCAATGGTATCTTGTGTATTTATTTAGCCTTTTTAATATAATGTTAAAACTCACGCGAAAATTATGTATAAATGCATTTGAAAAAAATATTTGTAAGCTCAGTCCCTGATCGTTTTATTGTAGACAGTCGAAAACTGAAACCTCTTGAAAACATGGTGGTCTCATAACATGAAATCCCCTGAAAAGCTACAACGAAAACACCACGGAGTGGACTTTAGATCCCGGCCTATTTGAGTGACGTTTGATCCACACAGTTTGACCTTGTCATGTAATTCGTTACTGGTGTATTCGGACCACTTTAGTGGCGTGATTTGATTTGTTACCACAGATACCAAAGTAAACCTGTTTTGAAACAAATTATATATTCCTAAAAACTGTAGAACGTACTGTAAAATCTTTGAGATATAATACGAGCGCTCTCGTTGGTTAGAGAGGACACCAGAGATTTGGTTTGCCGCGCGCGCTGTCGAGCCGCGGGAAACCAATAATATATAATCGATATAAAGTCGGGAAGCCAGAATATAGCCCGTGTCATACGCAACTTGTCTCGCCAAAAAAATATTTGCAGGTTGCACGATCGTTTTCACGTTTAACATCTTCTCGCGCGATTAAAAAGGGTTTTTTTTATTTTTGCTGCGCCAAAGTAAAACAAACTTCTGCATTCTGCAATAATTTTCATAAAAAAATTACGTGTGAAATGGTCTAATGCATTTTGTGACTTCACACAATTAGAGGGCAGAAACCCATCAGAAAGCTGCTCGGAATCACTCGAAAACCCAATATCAACAATGTCGGACGACGAGGAAAGTTATGGTGCTGCGTTTGACATGGTCTCGTGCAACCTGCAAATATTTTTTGCGAGAGACGATTTGCAGGAAAAATCATACTGTGTGGCATGACCTTAAACACTCGTTGCACTCGTGCTCCTAGGCTTGCTCTTCCTCATTGTACTCTCCATGCCGTACTGTGTTTATATCAGAAAACAGAGGCGTGCGCTGCCGTTTTATATTAGTCTCAGCTACGCAAAGAGGCCAATGTGATATGTCAGATGTGACTATATATAGAGCGATTTTTTACGCATTTCAAAATGCGCAAGTTCAATCTGTTGTTGCACAGTGATCGATTGCTCTATCGCATAAATACGCCACACCAAAACTCTCTATCGCAGGGATTATGGTCGCCAGAGCTAGGGATCAGAGTGAGTCCACATCAAATAAAATGTAGATGATGTTTTTGATAAATGATGTACATCAAAAATCGATACACTCACGCTCTACTTTCGGAGCATCTATCCACAATGTAAACATACTATGACGTCATTATGCCATAGAAAGAGAGTATGAATGTTAATAGGTCCAAATTTCAAGTCTTTCTGAGCATATATCCACAATGTAAACATGACTATGACATCATTTTGCCATAGGGCAATTGGAAATATCTAGAAAAGTTAAGAGTCTAAGAGTGGTGCACATGAAGAGTGAACGCTGCAAACGCGTGTTTGATTGATTCAACAGGTCAGCGGTGACGTTCCTATGTGGTATCTATGCCTACGGTGCTACATGGATACTGCTAGGACAGAGCAGTGAATACAAAATAACACCAAACGTATGGAAGGAATTCATGGTATGATTTTGAACTTATTATTATCTGCTCTGCGTATGTTCAATTTCTSTCTCTTAAGCGCCGTTTACACGAGCAATTTTTCCTTGTCGCTCGTGTAYATGGRGTAAAATTGACAATTTTTCCTTGACAAGGAAAAATTGTCAAGGACGAAATTTGTTCGTGTAAATGGACAACAAGGAAAATGTGCCAAGGAAATATTGTCAAGGAAAACTTGTTGACCATTCAGACAAGCAACTTTTCTTGTCAAGGAAAACTTGTTCTTCGTTTACACGAGCAAAGAAACATTGTCAAGGAGGAATTGTCAAGGAAAACTTGTTGACCATTCACACGGGCAATTTTTCCTTGTCAAGGAAAACTTGTTCTTCGTTTACACGAGCAAAGAAACATTGTCAAGGAGGAATTGTCAAGGAAAACTTGTTGACCATTTACACGGACAATTTTTCCTTGTCAAGAAACTTGTCAAGGAAAAATTGCTCGTGTAAACTAAAGTTCCACTCTCGTACCCAGCGCCCGTGACCCTCTTACTGCACATGCTCGACGAAAAACCGCAGACTTTTTCGTCGAACGTGCGCTGTAAGAGGACAGGGAAGCTGGGTACGAGATTGAATAAGCCCCTATACATTTTCACCAGGAASTAAACTAGAGATTGCTCTCTTTACTTTTCAGTACCTGTCCTTTATAATAGTAGTAACTGGCAATATATGTAACATCATATTCCATGTGGTTATCAAGGAACCRCTATCACGGTCTTATTTGGAACGTTGTCGAAAATCCGCAACGGTTGAATCGACGAATAAATCAGGTAAAAGAACTTCTCCTCTTTGGGGAGTAGTGTGGTCACGTTTTTCTTTTTTTCCTTTCAACACAAACTTTCTGAAACTTTCAAATTATATAGAACTGATTGCCACAGCAATCGATTCTAAAATTTGCTCGCTTGTAATCATTCTTATTATTTCATTAATTATTTTTTTTGCCATTTTAGGCAGTGTCTTACCTGAGACTCCAAACGTGTGTAATGGGAATGTCTTCACAAACCACGCACTGGATGATAAAACTTCAGCAGACAAACAAGAATTGGACATGCAGATCTTACCCCAGCACAATGGGTCTCCTAATGTGGCTACAAAAGAATGCATGACCATTGAAACGAATGATGGCGTGAGGGACGTTGAAGATGACAACGTGACAAACAACAATTGTTCCGTTACACGGAATGATGCTCTAGAAATAGTTGATAGAAGCACTTCACCATGCCTGTTGCCCAAATCCCGCTTGGATTGGCTGAAGAGCCCTGCTATTTACAAGGTATTGCAGTATTTGGGTCCTAGTGTAAATTTTCGAGGGGGGAGGGGGGAGATGAGACGTTTTTGCCAAAGCAAAGGCTTGTTATCTTCAACTGCCTGAAAACTCTATGTGCTTTCGTCATTTCCAGATGTTTATTTCCTTTTGTGTAGTTTAAAACAACGGCAGCCGTTGTCCTTTTTGATAAAGAAAGTAGACAAAGCATTCTGGGAGTTGTAGCTAATGACGTCATCGTAAGCTAGTGCCATTCCATTGTAAATTCAAACTATATTTGTCCACATATCGATTATTAGAGAGTGCATATGAATGTTCTTTTTTTTTACAATGCTCGGCTACGACTCGTGTCATTAATCTGCATATGTCAATACATGTCAATATTGTGTTTCAGACTGCTGTAGTCTACATGTGCACTCGACTCGTTATCAACGTATCACAGTCGTATCTTCCTCTTTACCTTACAGAAACGCTCAACTTTGAAAAGGTGATTCGTCCAATCAGTTTTGTCAACCCTGCCATTAGCGTACATTTGTAGGTGTTGGTGCTTGTGCTGATGTCGTTTGCTAATCATTCAGTTTTGTGATAAATTGCTGTATTTCAGGAGGCYATTGCTTACTTTCCATTGGTAGCTCTTGTAAGCGGTGTCTTGGCAAGTTTGCTGGTTAAACCTCTTAGTAAAAGACTTGGACAAAAGGTAATTTCACTACARTTTGGGRATGACTTTCAAGTTACTCGAATGTTATCCAGGTATTTATCCATGTATGGCGCAGGGTTTTTATTCCCCATATTTCCGTATATTTAAACTTGGTTTGAACTCCTAGATAACTTACATCRTTGGGGGAACTATGGCCATTGGCGCATGCGTGTGGTTTTATTTCCAGTCTGTGGACATGCGCAATKCTGTGTATGCTGCTACAGTTCTTATGGGCAGCGGTGGTTCGGTCATGCTGGTGACGTCATTGTCGATGATTGCAGACCTTGTTGGTAATGACAAGGTAAGTTTAAAATAGATTACCATATTTTCTTTGTTCTCGTAGTAGGAGATAGAAAATAGGAAAGAACTGGGTTGGTTTAAAAGGGCTATACATTATTGTATATGTGGKTTTTTTATTGGCTTTGGAATTCAAAATCCATTAAGTAAGACTCGAGTACTTCAATAGCGGCATTGTAYACACTTACTACACGTCATCATTCCACCAGGTAACCAGGCCTACACATAGAGACCAGCATAACACACATTCACATTTTGTTTTGCTCAGGAATGTGGAGCTTTTGTTTATGGAGCCATTAGCTTTACTGACAAAGTGTCTAGCGGTGTTGTCATAGCAATCATCCAAGAGCTTAACCCTCGTGATCATCAGGTGTAAGTACAAGTATTGGAAGGCATGAATTTTTCACTCAATAGCTCTTACACTCACTCACTCACACTCACTTTCCTGTAAACTGTGCACAATCTGACAAAGGCATTTTGTTGTTTGGCTCAACTTCAAGATGGTAACGGAGCTCATGATCCCCAAGTCTTCTCAAAGCCATGATTAATTTCAGTTGCGCAGCACTCCCTCTGCGCACACTCCGTGTCTGGGTCGTTTCCAAAGTGAAGAAATTACGAAAAAAACTCGTTAAATATGGAGAGCTTGTCGTTTTGGTGTGGATTGAATATGTMTTAGTTCTGATTGATAATTGCTGATGCAAAGTGTCTAAAGTGAGCTAGTCGCACAATTTTTACTTTGGCGCTGATGTATTAGTTCCTTATCCGTGAAAACACTTCATGTTTAAATTTTATTTTCAAATCATGTTTATATTACAAACTAATAACTTTATGGTGAATTTGTTCACAGTGAAGCATGTTTGCAGTGCAACAAGTATGTTCGTCATGTACAAAGCATTGCTCCCGGAGTTGCAGCTGTGGTTGGCTTGTTGACGGTCATAGTATTTTTTAACTCCAAATTCATTTGTAAGCTTAAAGGTAAATTTGTCCCTCATAGACAATGTATACCATCTTTTCAATAGAGATTTTCACTGTATTTGAACATCTTTCCCCTTTGCAAACATTCTGTGACATCATAATGAAATAGGGCAATTGATCGTTATTGCCTTTGAGTACAATCTTACAATCAATCAATTACGCATAAAGAACTATATATTTTCTTTCTTCTCAGTCGACCACTGCGACGCCAGTGTACAAGTCGGCAGCATGCACCAAACGTGGTCAGAAAAAGTCGACGGTACGGAAAATCTTACMATATCAAGTAAAGAGGACTGTTTGCGTTCTACAACTACAACAGACTGTATCTGCATTGCACAAGTACATCGTTATGACGTGAAAGTAGATGTAGACACAGACACAAGGTAAAACAAATACGGATTAATTTGCAGGAGAAAACCAAGTCCTCTAGCAATATGACGCTTAAAAAAAGTTATAAAGTTCTACTGCAAAAAACATTGCATAATCGACCGTTCAAAATAGTTTTTATATCGCGTTTTCTTGTATAACATTCACATTAACTAGCTTAAAGGTAAATCCGTCCCTCAAAGACAATGTATACCATCTTTTCAAATGAAAGTTGTACAAATTCCTACTGTCCTTTGAGCATTGCAAAATATTGCATATTCGACCGTTAAAAATAGTTTTCGCATCGCGTTTTCTTGTATAATATGATTCACAAAGAAGTGTAATAAACACTAAAGCCGTGATAAGTGCGAACCAATTAACTCTGAAATAGTGCTTAATAATAAGTAATAAGTTTATYATACAATAGAAAACAAAGGAATTCGCCATATCAGTACAATTTAGCACTATTAATTAGTAAACAGTTKCATGGTTTTARCGTTTGCACAGACTGAAACAAGAAAGCAACAACCAAAAACAAAACAAAAACGTTGAGGGAAAACGATCAAGCTCTCAAAATATTAAATCGTTTTGTTTTTTATTTTCAGGTTTTAACGATGCCTGTGTGCGTCAAATATGGTTATCGCGTAGAGCTGAAGTATYTGTTTTCAAAAGCATTATTTAACAGTTCCAAACAAACTATTAAGGTAGATAATTTTTATCATTAATGTATCGGATTCAATTAGTAGAATATTTCTAGCTCAATTCTATTTTAGAAATGTTGAATTAACCAACAATATTTGTTAAAATTGTCGACGAATTTTTGTAAATATTTGGCATAAATACATATTTATTGTATACAAAAGCTCATTGACGTCATCATTGACGTCATCATTTCATCATCAGCACAATTATGACGTCATTCATTGAGCATAACGTCATAGATAGTAATAAAAAATAGAAATCAAATAAAAATGCAAGGATTTTTTATATGAAGCAATGGAGGCTGTGACTTGTGTGGTGTCATAATGACATTTTACATTTTCATCTCTACTATCGCTTTAACTAAGAATTACCAAATGTTTTCTCCTTACACTTTAGTCAGTTCTTTTGACCGACATTTCGCAACATTCTCGCCATTGGAAGTTAGAATATTTAATAGTTTATCTAAAGTCCAGTTACACTGTCCAACGCAAAAAAAAATACAACTGACGGCATTGCAAGACGTGTGAACTATAATAAAATGAATGGACCCGATCCTGTTGCTTTGCACACAAGAATGCAAGGAATAATCTTGTTCATTGTTGCCACAAAGTTTAGACTTCTCGAAGCGAGGCAATTTCTCTCGTCGGCTGTTAGGAAGAACCGTTCATTACGAGGATGACTGTGTTTTCGAAGTTTTACCAAAATATGTCGCGAATATGTTTCATTGGATTTTGATGTTGGGGCACTGGTAAGATTAGATATTTAGAAATAGCTGAAATTAAAAAGATATTGGAGCAAACAAACTTGGCCAGGTCCACCACGGTGTTGGTAAATTTTTTTTATATCACAGCAGAAAGGAAGAAAAAATATTGTATTTAAATTATTTTATTTCAAATCCGAAATTTAATTCAGAAATAATGAAAAAGGAGGGGAAAAAGGAGGTGAATTATGATAGATTTATCATTCGTGTGAAACTAGAGGTCTCGACATTACACGTAACTCTATGCCATTAAAAGCTTCTAGACACTAGCCTGGGCTGCCTGTGGACGCACGGACTTCGCTATTATCGGTCTTAGCCACTCCTTTGACACTCCTTCCTTAAAAGGTCTTAAAACTGGCGATCGCGAAATTCGCTTGAAAACAACCACTGGAAAAAAAAATTGTGCACTTACAAGGTTCTAAATTTGATGTCTAAATAGCATGTAAGTAATATTTACATGATTTTGGACACTTACATATAATATTTACATCAAATTTATGTATGTATATTTGAATTACATCATATTTACTGGAAATTTACAACCTTTAAGAATCACGATTTTTTCCAATGAACATTCCAGTTGAAATTAAATGCCAAAAGTTCTAAGGCATTCTAAACAAGATCTTGCAGATTGCTTTGTTTAGTTGACCTCTCAGATCAAATCTAGAACGATGATAGAATACCTCGTCAGATTCTGACACAATGGAAAAACACAATAGGTTACAACAATAGCAATTAGAGTGCCGAGGTATTCTATGATCTGATTCACCAAGATCTATTTATATTCGACTGTTTTTGTATCTTTTAAATAAAACGTGCCAAAAATCTATGATAAATCAACAACGGCATACTTTAGACCTTGTTTCCCATTAGATACATCGATTTTTGATAGCAAAATTCTGAGAGAATATCTCTTGATCAGCTATTTCTTGTTATTTTCACAAGTCGCTTTGAATAAACAACGTCTCTCGAAAATGTCACAGACATGTCGTGGGCTCGTACAAAAGCCCGTTAGCCTAGAATAAGCTTATTGGAAATATTTTAACCTCTACGTGATTTTATTGGAACGGCCAGTCTTACTTCCAGGTCACTTGACAATCTTGTCACATCCTCGGGAGCCCAGCCAGGGGTAATGTTCTGACGGATGCGCCGTTCAAGCTAACATGCCATAGGCATGCTATCGACCAGTGGGCGAATTCAACTTCCGGAACAAGGTCTAACAGACTTTGTACCCAGGGGTATCATTTGGGATGCATTATTTCTTGGATTTGGGAACCAGMGACAAAAAGTAACTCCCAGGTTCCCGAGGATGACTTTCTCGCGGCGGGTATAGGGTATATATATATTGGCAGTGTTCCCGAGATAGTCTTTAGTGTGTCGTCTGCATCTTGACTGGTGACTTACAGTCGTTATCTGACAACACAGCACAAAGGTGATAGTTGTTTTCCTTTTTTTTTTCTCCGGACTCAATCTTCACTTCTTGGCCACAATGTGCAAAACAGTAAGCAAGAGACGCCACAAAAATGAAAAAGACAGACTTCCAATCTCCCAACGTGCTGCACATGGAGTAGGACACGTCCTGATCGACCTTGTTGCAAATATTTATTTCAGCTATGTTATAATCTACCTCACCAAAGTAGTAGAACTTTCCATTCGGTACACGGGGATTGTCATCTTACTTGGACAAATAACCGATGGAATTTCCTCGCCTTTGATTGGGATCATCTGCGATAGAACCGTTTGCCGTTATGGCCGTAGAAAAATATGGCACCTTATTGGAAGCATTCTTTTCACCATAACCATACCACTGATGTGGATAAATTTTCTCAAGCAAGACACAAATGATGTTCTTAAGCTGGTGTATTATGTTGGCGTTTCTGTTGTGGTTCAGTTTGGTTATGGGTGCGTCCAAATCGGCCATCTTTCGCTGATCCCTGAAATATCGCGTCGAAAAAATGAACGAGTTGAGCTCAATGCAATAAGGTAGGAGTGTTAGGCCCGGTTCTAACGTAGATCTTTTGTCGCCTCTAATCTAATTGCCGGAGTTGGTTTTTTTGAGCATTTCGTTATTGACATTTATAGATTTTGTTGAGTCGTGCTAACTCACTGATATAATCTGCAAATATCAATTGATTTAAGTCTACAAACTTCTCGTGAACTACATGCAAGCAATCAGATTAGACACGGCAAAAGAGCGACGTCTGAACCCGAGCCACCTTATACTGTGACAAAAGATATCGATTCAATTTCTCATCAGGGCCAGTTTTATCATTGCTAAGATGAATATATTGAACCTTTAATATTAGCACTCTTGGCTCGACATCATGGTAACAAATTTAAAATTTTTATTTTGCTGATTTTTTCATAAAAATTAACTATTGTCACACAACAGTAACGCCCATGCCCTGTAGGCACCCTTGTTCAACAGTTGAGGCGAGTGCGTCCTCCAAAGTCCCTTGCCTTAAACTAAGCTCCATGCCAAACTTTTCATGTTTTTTCTTCATGTTTTGTTTGTCGTTTTTTTTTTTTTTTTTTTTTTTTTTGATGTGTCGGTTTTTACCCTTTCCTTGTAATCCTTAAACGTCCAAGGGAAAATATCCGTTAATGCAATAAAGAAATGCCTCTCAAAAGGCCTGACCCTGATGATCTTATATATAATAGACAAAAGACAACGGCATCATAAGCGCCAAAAATAGGTGGATTTTTGATATGCTTGAAGTATGTTTGACACATTTGAACTTGTCATGTTGTAGTTTTTTGATAAGCAACGTATGATGATAAGGTGGTGTGATCGAACCACTTTTTAAAACTGACATGGTTTGACTTGTTCTAACTTGTTCCTCAAAATATACTTGTATAAAAGACGAGATATTAAAGATATGATTTTAGAAAAATAAAAATAAAGATAAAAAAGATAAAAATAAGATAAAAATAAGATAAAGATATGATCTTTACTGATTTGTGGGGATTTTTTTCCATGTTGAACGTTTATGAGCTAAGGAGATCCATTTAGCGAGTGAAATTCAAGGACTTCGAGCACGCGATTCAAGTTCGAGTCACGAGTCAGCACGATCCAACTTGATAACACAGAAAAAAACAAGCAGTTTTTCAGTTCCATTTTTTATGCTGCAATTTTTTTTACGTATTTTAATTTAAGAACAAGCTAGTATGAGCTGCGTCTGAGTAGTATTTAGTATCCRCACGATTAAAAATTTATTTTTTTGTCATACTTTCTGAAAAGAACTTAGAATTACCTGTATATTTAGGCAAAATAAAACCGTGTGGTGATTTTTCGTTTCATGGGCACTTTAACAAAACAATATTATAAAATAGCTCTTCTAGACATTTATTTTTCGAGTAGTTTTGCTTCACCATGTTTACTCGATGCGACCATGGTCTAACATGTGTAGAACATAGTTCATGGTAAATCAAAATCAGCTGGATGCCTGATAATATGTAGCTTGGTGGACATCGTTCAGTTATTCATTCAAAATATCAGATACCTGCAAAACTTCATTGCAATATCAATAACTTTTTTTTACCTGAGTAAGAATTTTGTGTAAGTAAATTTTTTGTTGTTTTTATAATGGTGATTGAACTGAGTGGAGTGCAATTTGGTTTGAAATCAAACGTGTGATTCAAAATCGCACGACCGCGTAACGGGAGTGCGATTTGTAATCACAAGTTTGATATTTGGAACCAAAATTGCACGACACGAAGTTCAATTACCACTTAATTATATCCATTTTGAAATCTAACACAATGTAAAGCATAAACTTTCATTAATTCGTACAAATACAATATTTGCTTCAAAAGAGTGTGATTATGAGTTCAAAATGGTGCGATTTAGGCTGAAATCAACCTGCTAAGAACCAATCAGATTGCAGGCCGATTCACTTGTGATTTCAAAATGGATATAATTAATGTCTTAATAACTAAAACAACACGTTGCTCATTGCCAATCTTTTTCCAATCGACGAATCGGCAAAATTACCGTCGACATACTACTATAATCTTTACCGAATCTTAGTGCTTCAATGAAAATCCGTACAATCTTCAATGAGCTTATTATACAAAGACCAAAGTGCATATGATTCCAAATACAGTAATCGTATAGAGTTACTTCTTTGCGATAAATAATCAAATGTTGAAATTGATTGTTCTCAACCATTCCCATGAGATTAAAAAGATAAAATATCGGCGGCCATGTTGGAGGAATGARCAATAGATACYAATGAGAAATTATATCATAT